GGCAGCAGCTTCGATTTGATGTACCTTCAGCCCTCTACCATGGACGCATTTACGAAGGTGCTATGGGAAGTCCGGTTCTCAGTCTCCGGGAGGGTCACAAACCACTTCGTCTGTCTACCGACGGCTCCAATGTGAAATATGAAATTGTTGGAGGTAGTGGGTGTGATGCCTTCATGCTTAGTCCAGATGGTGAGTTAATGTATTCATTTTGTAGCCTTAATCGGACGTGTACTGTCATAAATCTGTAATGCCAATATCGTTTAGTATGAATTAATGTTCATTCACTCGGTATTTCATATAGTAACTGCCTTAATATTGTAACAAGTAGTATTGTAAAGAAGATTAACGTGGCAACTCGGCTAGAAACCGTGGTAAGATTCCAGATTTAAGGTTTCTCGATCCAACTAGAAGGGCACTTTCAATTGCTCATCCAATAACTGAAGTCTACCATTCTTTGGTAACCCCCCCCTGTCATGGCCTCACCGCCTAGGTTTTGTCTCTATCACAAGGTTCCTGTAACCAAAGAGTTTCCGCCTAGCAAACATATCCCTTGTAAGGAATACAAAAGGGAAAACATGTGTCACAAGTTGCGAGAACCTTCGTTATTTCTGCATCCGCTTTGCGGTTTGTAGACTTGAAAGAAGTCGCGCTCCCAAAGTAGTCTCTTGCTCAGAGTTGGCTATGGCATCTGCCAAGTCCAACTCCACAGAATAATCCTACGCTTCCAGGGCGCTAGTAGGGCCTTGTGAACTATGACAGCAATATGTCATGAGGAGGATAGGTTTTGCTATCTAGCGCTTAGTATCAGTCTCAAAGATTCTCGCCCCGCGCCGTCCTGGACGATGTTTTTGGTCGTAGTTGCTTTTATCCTACTCTTGTTTACCATGGTTTGCACAAATCCTTTCTCAATAGACAGAAGACCGATGTAAAGTGAACATTACAAATCGAACAGCCTGACTTTGTGCCTTCTTTAGTAGCACTGGCCCATAAATGCTAATACTCGCTACGGACACTAACGTTATCTGGGATGGGATGGGATGATGGGATGAGTACGTGTCAATAGTAGTCAAACGACTTAAATCTTAGCTTGACACGAAAAATTTTCTGTACACCAATCCGACCTAAGCACTATGAAAGGTTAGATTTCATGGCTTGAGACCGAGTATACAGCGTCGGCAGTCGTTCATTATGGATTCCACTAAATGGATGAAAATTGGGCTTCCAGGTTGAAATAGAAACCAGGATTTCAGCATTCTATTGCCATTTTTTCCCCCTTTAATCCTCATCATATTGAGTTGGGTTTTCGGACATTAGAATAACAATTGTTCGTTTAAGAAAAAGTAACTGAAATTGACAAATGCGTACTTCATTTATTGGTGGGATGATACGGTCAGTAGGATTTATAGCAACTGAATTTTCGAAGCCTACAATCTATTTCACATCCATTGCGAAATTTGAGGAGCACTATATGACAACTCGTTAAATGCATAGAGGCATGCATGACTTTCCTTACCTGGAAAGCATGCAGCTTGCAGACTGAGGTCTCTAAATGCAAATACAGCAGCAGACAAGACTCAAAATTATTCGGGAATGGAAGAAAAAATTTGAATTCTAAATGCACGCTTCTTTTGACTATAATATTTAAAGAAAACGTAATATGCCACATATTTCATGCAAAAAGGACTATTTTTGTCCATGGTTTCTAAAGAATATATTTTTATGTATTAGAGCGTGCGACCTCAATGGAAAAAATTTAGCTACTTAAGTTGTCATTTTTTGTAAAGTGCGGTATTTGTAAGTAGCAGGAAAGAAGTGCACTCAAGGGTCGGCATCCTGACGTGACTGAAATAGCCTGTAATTACGCTCTACCGCAATAAATAGCACAGCACACTTAAGTAATCCCCCCTATTCGAAAGCGAATTTCAGAATTCTGGTTAACATATAATTAGTCGCTGATTACAATTTTTTATTTCTTTGATAACGTTTCGCCTGTTTTTTTGTTTTTATGAAAATCACACATTCTTAACTTCGGTACCTGTCAACGTGCACCCTTGCGAATTTTCGAGTTAATGCTCTAGGGTTCAGGTCATCACTAAAGACGCGTTTTAATCGTCCGAAAAGGCATACCACAGGCGTAAGGCTCGTAGATTCTCCTAACCACCCACTCGAGTTTTTAAAACCTTGCTTCACTACCTAAATTCCGGCCTTCGTCTTTCAATTCATGGTGTTTACTCCTGTGGCCACCAGTCACAAAGTTGCCTTTATTTGGGCCGGAGCCCATCAATTGCTATAATGCGGAGTTCTATTACGTCAATTTGCGGACACGTAAACTTCCGCGTTTATATAAATTGGATTAACCTTCCCAGATACATGCTATTACTGGCTGTGAAGCAGTGCACCGATTCACGCTACGTCCCACTGTATGTTTAGGATGGATTTGCGTCGCTGTGGGTACTGCCGGCTACTCTGTTGAGGACGATAACCACTATGGATGCAAAATAAGAGATGTACAAGGACCGCGTCTTCTTTTGTATTCATGTTTTATTTAACGATCAACGTAACCGAAGCCCCGTTTTTTTAGGCAGAGAAGACGGGAGTCAGTATGACGTCCATTAGTTCAACTATCCTCAATGCCGCGCCTTACCTTTTTATGCTTCCACACGATAGCTAGTTTTTTTTACTTGCGCGGACACCAGTATTGTCAGTCCGCCTGCCACCCTTCAGGAATCTGTACTTCTAACAGTTGCTAATTTCAGGAGTCAATTTGGCTGGCGTGGGTCAGCTATCGATAAATTCTCTTTAGGCCTGTACATCTATATTTTTATGGAAACAGGTAAAATATACCGACAAGTAAAAAAAAGAAGCATGCTCGTTTGGAGACCACAGCGCTCCCCTGTGTACGCCCATGCACACTCTTCCAACATATTAGCGGCCTCCTGCTCATCAACTAATTAATTCCTGTAACAGACAGTGGGGTTAAAATATGTGTGGGTGAGTCACCAACTAATTCCCTCCCTCCCTCTCACGAACAGACACCAGCTCCTGCCTGCAATCTCCCCAACGACTTCTCCCCGACCGTCGAGTAAATACTTTGGCTGAAGAGGTCACGCCTCTGTGTCTTTGGTTCTTACAAGAACAATCCTGGTTAAAATACGGAGGGAATAGGATGGATTATATATCCAAAGTTGTTCGCTGTTGCAAACAAGATGGGGAACTCAGTAAAACAGTCACGGATTTATCGATTTGAGTGCCAAACGCTGAAATCGTCCCCCTTAAAATGAAATTAACCTACGAGTAGCTTTCTCAAATTTTAAAATGCCTTTCTTACTTAGTTTGTGAGTGCATTCGTCTCATAAATAGAAAATTTTTGCAAGAGGTGTGGAACAAAACCATAGTTGTTTTACCCTCCCGAGATTTAAGTTTTTAACTCGCATCATACCGGACCATGCAAAAAAACAGCAAACGCCCAGAATCTGTCAGAATTTCTTTCCCGGCCCGTCAACATGGCTGCAGATCAGGTCATAGCAGGCGCTCGACAAATATGACACACCGATGGGTGTTGTTGCACGCTTAGGTGCAGATACATGCCGCACCTGCGTCCGACCCCGCGTCAAGTCTTGTTGACTCTGTCTTGAAACCTGGTCCAGATGGGTGAAGGAGGAGAGAATGTGATACATACTGCGCAAATATACTGTCATTATAAACAAATTCGTACAAAAGTTGCCGTTCCTCCGCCCACTCTCCTGCGGGGCACGAGGGGGGACCTAGTCGGAATCAATTGTCAAACTGTGTGCGCGTGTTATGGAGCGAGTTTATATGTAGCCTAGGTATGTTTGTGGGCAGGTAGGTCAAGTTGTGCACTTGAACCGGTGTTTTACCGAATATCAACGATGGTCGCGGATAGCGGAATAAGCCAATAGGATAGGCGGATGTTATGGACGCAGGTAAGGCGTATGATAAAGTTCCGGGTACTATTTCACCGGTCTCGTGATGGATTTGCTAATGATTGACCAGGCCAAGGCGTAGTGTGATGGCAATTACAGATTGGGATTGATTTCGCATTACTCCTAGATGGAATTATAGTGGGATGGCTGGCAGAGTGAGAAGATTGTTATCATTAGTGGAAACGAAGGCGTTTTCTGAGGTCGCAATGCCGTGTTGACATAGCACTGAGGAGTCTGAGCTGTACGCGGAATGCTCGTTGTGGATACGCTGGAAGAGAGTGAGTTTTCGAGTTACAAATTTGTGGCACTTGAGTCTTGGGGTTCCTATTTTTTGCTCCGGTAGCCGCTATTCAGCTGCCTTCGAAGATGACTGCCCCCAGCCCGTACGAAAGTGTGCCAAGCCCGTCGATCTTGATCTACCTCCTTCCAGGTCTCATGGTTGACTTTTAAATAGGCGCTGAGAACGGCGGCAGCATCACGGCCGTTGACGTCGCCTCACGATATCTTTCCTGGTGGCAACGGCGACTCTCGTGTCTCGTCATTCTGTCTTTGGTCTCCCGCTCTGAGAAAAGACGTATGTAGCGTTCATTTTCTAGTTGTCCCTATTTGGAGCAGTAGGACTCATTGAGATCTACAATGTCATCTTTGTAGTACGCCAGTTCCCAGGTGGCCAGAGCTGTCCTCCTTCATGGACGGTTTGCCGGTATATTGTTTGAAAGAGGGCGAGCATTGCACACGTCCGGAGTGAACAGTACCAGTGTAGCAGTCTTTGTGGAGGGTGAGTACGGGGGAGGGTGGATGTTACTGATGATATATTTTCGATAGTATATTTTACGTCTGCAACCCACGGTCAGTTTGCCAACAGTGATTTATCAACATTTTTTTCCGGACACCTTTTCTAGCCTCTTCT